GTGGCATCTTCGTCTGGTTTTGCTGGCGTTGGTGTCGAACTGAGCGCTAGATCTGAGGCACCACTGACCGACTGGATCCCCATTAACAGTCGGTTATATGTTGTTAAGTTAGAAAGTTACATCAAATTACGAAATCGATGTGAGAAACGATGTCTTTTCGTCATCTCCGCCTATGCTCCGACAAATTGCAGCCCGAAAAGTATAAGTGAGCATTGGTTGCAATGGCATGACGCCATGAAAATGGCGAGTAAAGTTGCCAACGGCTTCGCGAAGCATCCCACTTATAAGCTCTGGGTTTCTTCAGACTCCTTACAACTCATTAAAACCCGTCAGTCTACTTCGGGTGACTGCGAGTTTGACCATAAACGAAGACTGTTATCTAATACAGTTGTGCAGAGCTTGTGTAAGGGCCGAGAAGCCTGGTGGTCGGAGAGTGCCAATGGGTTTGAAGCAGCAGCTGCATCTGGTGACTGTCAGGAGCCCTTTCACCTCATCCGAGCCACTGGCAGCAAGAAGTCTGGTGTGAGTGAGATGATCTGTGGAGATTATGGGATGCCAACCACAAACATCTGCTGACGCCTTGGACGATGGGCAGTTTTTCAAGGAGCAGTTCAACCTGTCTGTTCCTCAGCAACATCGATCAGACTGTTCTACTCTCCTTGACCTGTGAAAACTGATCCACTCAACGAGGAGGAAGTTTACAAGGAACTCGAACTCTTAAAGTGCTATAAATCACCAGGCCTGGAAGACTTACCTCCGGCCCTTTTAAAGATGGTGGCAACTTTATAGTTATAGAGCTGAGTTATTTACAAACGTCTGACAGTTTGAAAGTGTTCCAATATCGTGGGATGAGTTGATAGTTGTTCCTACTTTTAAAAAGGGTTCACGTTATTTTGCAACAACTATTGGGGGTTAAGTTTACATCCAACTGCGTCCAAACTATTAGTTTCTGTTATATTTCGTAGATTGTTCAAAAACCCACAAAGATTGACTCGCGAGGAGCAGGCTGGTTTTCGTTCTGGTCGAGGATATAATGATCATATATTCACCCTCCGCCAAATGTTAGAACACCGTCATACTTATCACAAGCCAGCAATCGTAGTGTTTCTTGATAATAGGACTGCCTTCCATTCGTTGGACAGGACTGTTCTCTGGCATTGTCTATGCAAGAAGGGTGTGCCAAAGAAGTTGATTAACATCTTAAAAGCCCTATATACAAACACCTCAGGTAGAGTGAGGACATACAACCACCTTTCTCCATTTTTTCCATTCGAGCAGTGGGGTTAGGTTGGGTTTCCCAATCTCACCATTCCTCCTCAATTTCGCTACCGACGACGTTCTGGAAACAGCTCTGATGGATATAGATAATGGCAGTGTGGTTCTATTATCTGGAGAAAGACTTCGCCACCTTGAGTATGTGGATGAAATTGTCTTACTGTGCGATGATACCCAAGCCATGCAATCCGCATTTAATCAGTTGATAATCAATGTCCATAGGTATGGTATGTGCTTTGCACCTTCGAAGTGCAAAGTACTTTTACAAGACTAGCAGGACGTTAATCCTGCATTCACCCTGGGTAGTGAGTGGATAAAAGTAGTTGAGAAGTTCGTTTATCTGGGTAGCTGTGTAAGTGCTGGTGATGGCGTGAGTGATGAGATAGATCCATGTATAGTGAAAGCCAGAGTGGCTTTCTTCATAAAAATAAACGTAACTTATTTAACTGAAAGAATTCTTTCTGGTTATATTTTTGCTAACTGAACTGTTTCCTCTATTATTATTATTATTATTATTATTATTATTATTATTATTATTATTATTATTATTATTATTATTATTATTATTATTACTATTGTTATTATTATTTCAATCTTTTACACTAATTTCTGTTCGTTACTATACGCACTTTACATTCTCTAAGTTTTTACAATATCATTGCTATTGTGTGGCGCATATGTATTTGGTGCCCCCTTGTACCAATGTTTATGTGTTCAAATAAATAAATTCATCTTGACTTATTGAAGTAAAGGAATACGATGATCTGATAAGATGGTAATACACACGCAGGAATGATGGGATAAAGATGATAGTAAAGAAATTTCGGCAAAGTTATACGACAGATTTACGATTGTTTTCCTAGATGAACCAAAATATGGAGTACGCAAAACTACGGAAGTCATGTGAAGAACATCGACATAACACGTGAATGTGTGTGTCCATATATTATATAACTAACTTGAAAATACAGATAAATGTAGCACCTAATAAATTAGCCATGTACACATAAGGTAAATGTTGGCAGAATTAGAATGAATTGGTAATGCTTGTGTATCAGACGTTCATTTGCCAAGTTGATTGCGGTTTAAAATACATACACTCACATGATTTATAGTACAAAAATGTCAATTGTAAATAACAGGGAAGTAGAAATATTGTAGTCTTCTTAATTAAAGGTCAATCAATTCATATAAATAAGAATAAACATAGTAATATAACACATTAATGAAGCAATATTCCATAAAAACATCAATTTAAGCAGAAGTTATTGGGCTTGTAATTTTTAGCATTGATACTAGTTAATACATCTTGACTTTAATACAGGTAAGAAAAGTGTTAATTAGAACTAGTGCAATGTTGAATAAAATCCCCAGTTATGTTTTATATATGTTATTGATAACAGGATTTTAAACTATTCTTAATCAAAATATATCACAGTAGTATACTGTTATCATTACTAATTTTCTTTACACTTGATGATAAGATGAACTTCATTTATCATCAAATTGAGATATACGTGAATTAATAGTATATATTATACTTAGAGTCTTCACTAGATAATTCATTCATTAATAGGACATGTAATTTAAATCTATCAGTATTCACTGTTAAAAATGAGAATTTTTTCTAACTGAAATTTGTTAAGAAGTTCAAAGTATCACGATATGAACTTAATTCCTTAAGATTTATTAAAACAGATTTATCGATAAGTGCATTTTTAATGCATTAAAAATAAGAGTCAAGACGAAGACATAGTGCTACATACATTAGTACTGAAAAATTGTACTTCAGTTATCGATTTTTAAACTACGAACGTTTTTTTTCTATTATAACTAAGACATATTTATAAATATGTATTAAGTTGTATATATAATAATGAAATAAACATTATACTTTCCCCTCCTCCAGGTTTTCAAGTGAAATAAACAAAATCAATCGAACTGAAATTGAAATCTGGAGCCAAATTCATAAATTGTTGAACCAGATTATTATCAAACTTTAAACTGTAATACAATAGGGAAACTAAAAAAGTATGCACTAAAACAATACTGTGAAAGAAAAGACGGAAGAGCAATACAGTCAACAATAAATTAGTAATTGAACCAAAAATACTTTATGGTAAGAGATCTAGTTCTCAACGATCGACCTTTGAGTAAATACAACATTTCTCTCGACAATCTGATTCAAGCTATTTACAGGAACTGTTTCTTATCTACTCTGAAGAATTGGCTTACAATAACTCACGAAACGTCAGAAACACAATTTTTCTACTCATTGGGATATAGCAAAAATATATTTATTAAGTTCGTCTTACTTTTGTGAAGAATGTAAACGAAAACTACAACAGAACATCCACTGGCTTCTATTTTTACCCATGTTAGCTAATTTCTCAAGCCAATAAATAAGTTGAAATACCTATGGGATCCCAAATAGAGAGTAGTGCTATACTGACAATCCCAATCTTAAATATCTCATGTTTATACCACGTCATAAAATGACCAACTGTCTGCTCGTTCCACCCAGTCCCAGAGTCGAGAAATAATGCGGAAGTTGATTAGCCTTTTAGCAGTCATTTGACGAACTATGACTTAAGTAACATTACCAGTAAAAGCAGCCAAACGTGATAATCAGCTTGTGAGTTTTAAATTTATCAAAACAGATGTGTTGTAAATAAAAAAAATCCCACAATAGTGAAGCGTAATTAACTCTTTTGGACTCCTGGCTTATCAGATGCACATATCTTTAAATAAATAAAAAAAACAAAGAACCTACTAAAATCTCAGCAATTAGTTTAACATTTTAAAGACTTTTTAAAAGTCATGTTTAAAGCAAGAATGTGATTTTCTTTTTACCAAATAATGATATTTTTCCGATTCTTCATAGTGAGTGAAACAATTATAGTCCTAGGATTTATTATGATAGAAGAAATCAGTTTCCAAATAAAGTCGTTTATTTAATGGTAATTATTAAGTATGAATGATACTTTTAATTACCAGCTTCTATAAATTAAGAAACTGGTAGAAAAACTCAAGAGGGGGATCATTATTCATCCCATGACTAAATAATCACAAATTAGCATAAAATAATTTGATGCCACTTAAATTTTATTGATATTCCATAACAAATATTATCCTGTTGAAAATTATTTATGTAACAGATGCAACTGAATAACCGTAGTAAATTAAGTAATGGAATTAAGTAACCAGATATCCAGATTCATGTACTTAACTTTAAGGAGAAAAACATTTCGATCGGACACAGTGATTGATATTTTTTCTCTATCTGACTATCCAAAAACTGGATTTAACTGAATACAATTTCAAACTGAAACATGATGACTAAAAAAAAGAAAAACCCAGCATAGTAATCATGTTGGATTGTTACACAAAAAAAGGGTCACTCATTATTCATCATACGAATCAAACAAGATAAATTTTACTTTTTTTAACGATTTCATTATCAAAACTGTGTTACTAGGATGTTTTCTAAAAGAAAAGGAGAATTTGAAGTTGTTTACAGAAACAAACAAACTGCTGGTAAAAAGTAATTATGAATGTGCTAGTGAATTGTTGTCTATTTCCTGATATTTACGTCAGGCATAAAATACTAAGACAGTGGGGAAAAAAAGCTAAAACTTAATCCGAATTTTTGATTAATAATCATTGATTACATTCAACAACAAAAAAAGGTGATATAATCGAAATGAAAAATATGATTTACTCACTGCATGACTGAATAGAATTGATTGAACTAAACAATAAATAAAATCACTCATATTCGGATTTGAATTGGCTAGTAACGTCTCAAAATCCGGTAGTAGACTGGGACCATTCATAGTTGAAAGATTTAAAGACGTCCTATTGGACTGTGAATTCAAAGTAAGTGTTTGATCATTATTACAAGATAAATAATCCGTAGCTGGAATTGTAGTCGACGACGCTGTTGATATTGTAGGTACTTGAGATGTGGAATCAGACAAGGTATGATTATTGTCACATAATACAGGTGTATTTCTTGTATTCCTTGGAGATATTGGGTGTGAAACAGTAGATGATGGTAAAGAAGAGGTAACATTTCTTAACAATTGTAGCAGTTGAGCATTTGATGTTCGTCCAGTAGGAACAAGAGATGGTTTTAAAAAGTTGTTCTGATGATTTTGATGTGCAGATAGATTTGAGGCTACATTTGAAAGCAGACTAGTTAATCCATGATTAGGTATAATCGGAGGTGGTTGAATAATGTTATTTGACGGTATACAACATGCTGGATTACTCATTGTGTTCATTATATCCAATTTCGATGGGTCAATAGGATTAGATGTCACTGTCAAACTACTAGTGGTATTTGTGTTTGTAGTGATGGTAGACGTACTACTACTATCAGTTGAAGTAATTGTAGTAATTGGTGAATGTAAATACATAGCATATAACCTGTGAACTCCGCCAGTTTCAAAATTAATCCAATAAATAAATTAATGAGTGAACAAGGGAAATAATCAATAATTACACAACTTAGTTTGTTGGAGATAACCTTTACTCTTGTAGTTCACACTCCGTGATCATAAATAATTTAGGTAACAGAGCGCAATTTAATCAGTAATTATGGAATTACGTTGGATATAGAATTGGTATTATAGGTTTACAGAGCAATAAAGAAGATTTGTTGTATTTGTGAGTACGTAGGAGTGTTAGAAAAACTGACGCCGTCAACAACTTGTGAAAATTGTTGCTTACTTTTTTTTTATATCTATCTAAAATTAAAGTTTTGGATTAAGAAAAAAAGAACAATTATTGATAACTATTTAAGCATAAAAACGAAAGAACCAACGTGAAACAATCGATTATTTAGTCATTCACTAAGCAATGAACCAACGAAAAAACAAAGCTCAGGTGAAAAGTATATGCGAAGAGAGAGAGGGAGGTAAACTTACAAAGCATATGAAAACAGTGTGGTTTGTGAAGAGTAAGAGAGAGAGAAGATCAAAAGTGCATAACACTTCAATCTTGGATTGTTTTAAAAAAACCTTACCTACCCAAAGGTTCATATGATCTTTTCGGATCATCTGAGATGGGCATGCTTTTAGTACATACGCGTGTCTATTTTTTTTGTGTGTAAGTAGTATAAGTGAAGAGAAAAGCATGAGTTCATTTACTGATCTCACAAGGTGGTAATACACACTTTTGGAAAAAAATATACAAAAGCAAATAAAAGAACAAACAAACAGAAAGATAATGTTTAGATGAATGAGCTTGAGAGAAATAAGTGATTTGAAAGAGTAAACATTATAAAGTTGTGATTATGACTATTATCATAGAAACCTTGATGAGAGTTCGCATATTTGGTACAGGGATGTATATTTATTGATACTGGTTACAACAATATAAGTAGTAATTAATCGCACCAAAGAAATAGGATTCATCTTACGCCTAAGTGATATACATTAAAGTTAATAATAATAGTTTCATTCATTCCTATAAATATTATTATGGTAATGGATTTCAGCATTAATTGTGCAATATTGAAAAAAATCTCTTTGACATACGTTCAAACAGTAATTATTCGGAACTATATTTTACAAATATTTTTTCATTCATCAATTTCTGGGACTTAACTTCGATAACGACAACTTCCTATCAATGTTCAAGTGCTACAAGGATTATTTTTCATCCATAAGATGTTAAATGCATGAACTCCAATTTATTCTTCTAGTTCTTTTTTGTTCAGTTAACAAGAAACATATGTCAACAAATGCAGCGTTCCGGATGGGATTTCCAGTATTTAGCATCCCGATACTTAATTAAAATGCAAAATTATTCGTTACTAAAAAGTCTAAAACAGAAAGGTAAATTGTGATAGGTGGACCAAACGTCTGAGTTGGGTGCCGTTAGTTATTATGTTAAGTCATATCCCATAAAATTTTCATTCAGAGATGGATAGGAGTCAATATAAAAACACCTGGTGGTTCATCAATTCAGTTTACTGGTATAGAATGTCAAGGTAAATCCCAATCAGTCTCATACATAAATAAAACTAGGATAAAGATATCCGTAATCTTTGTATGGAAAACGGTAATCACGATGATATGAAACATAAATAAACAGATTCTTTAGTTCACATCCGAGATAAAGTACCGATCACTAAAAGTTCACATGTTTGTTATTACGCAATAGGTAATTTGAGATTGTAAGTTAATGAAACTGCAAATTAATCTTTTACTCCTACATAACAATTCTCAATAACAAATTACACCTAAGATAATTAGAATGAAAAACCGCTTCTAACTATTTGTTAAAACATAACTTTGGGAATAGGTTTTACTTGATCATTCAGAGATATAGCGTGGAAACCTAAAATTAAACAGGAGAATAATTCTGTGAAATATTACTCTAATATATTATTATTCACTGTTGATTGTTGGCAGATCATGTTACAGAACCAAATAATTTTAATAAAACCTAATAAACGGTTTTTCTGAAAGTGAAACGAATTCAGTAAGTTTATTGTCGACAACATCCATATTACATTCGGTATAGGAAAACAATACCATGAAGAGAGGTAATTTAAACAGATACATGAAATGTTTATTTCTGTCACAGGATCTTAAACCAATACTTCTCCAAATTAACAGTCTACCTATTCTGGTAACAAGTGTACTTCTTATTTTTCCATATGGATATATAAAATCTGTCACCCCTACAGGGACGGTAAGATTAAAATGAGATAAATCGCATAGTACATAGTTTATGTAAAATTAAATAAACTTACCGAAAATAATTAAATGTTTCATTAAATGAATAATAGTCCAAATCAGTAAAAATTTATGGTCTGAGAAGAAAAATTAATCCATCAGAGTAGAAATTGTTAACTGTCATGATCTATGTCAGTTCGCCTATATCAACAAAATATATGTACACACGTATATATTTAAGGACTGTGTTTTAACCTGCCTCTAAGCTGGTTACTATACAAATGCCTCAAAAGAGCAGGTCAACTTTAGGTGACAGGCTAAGCCGCCCCTGATATGCGAGCCAGTTCACACAGGTGAGTGTGAGATAGACAGTCATCTATTAACAGCGATATGCGGGCTAGCCAAAGAGAGATGGCCTGAACTCTGACTCCTATTTGTCGTAACAACCGCAAACAGGCCAGACTAATGTCAAATAAGACCTTAATGTGGGGGCGTGTTGGTCGTTAGATTACGCTCTTACATGTCAGCTAGGTAGGTTGTGCAAATATATCAAACACCCCTGCTTGGCTAGACAGACATATAACACATGGACTTCTTGGTGGCCTTTAGCATAAATAAGTTAGGGCTATAATGGCCTCAATTAACAGTTCACAAAGTTCAGTTAACATTCCGATCTGTGTAATTGGCTATAGGATGGACCATTAGGATTAGGGGAGGGGGTGGAGTCAAGGCCATTTAAGGAAAAACACTAGACATCTTAGTCGATTCCAAAAATAATCGTACACTTGATTGTGATTTATGCATTATGCGATTATTTTGTAGTTTTCATGTAGTTAAGATAATGAAAAGGACATTTTTCAGTTAGATTTTAATAGGGTGGTGAGTACTCGTCTTTTTATTATAAAAATAATATGATTTATTAGGCAAACCACGGATTAGTTAAGATTTTACCCTACATTCTATTGGTTGCTTATCGTACAACGGAAAAGTTAAAATGATTTTGACAGTTTTATCAAGCTATTTACAAATTTTGTCAGCCGGGAACGTTCTGACTAGTTTCATGATTGTCAATGCAATAATTAGTAATATACATAGAATTCAAGTGGGTGAATATGTTGTTTATACTAGACAGGTAATGAACAAAATCCCCTAATGTTTATATATGTATGTATTTATATCCTCTTTGATGTCAAGATTTTAATAAGAACTAATCATAGAACTTGTGAGCTTCTGATAATTGGCGTATGATGAATGGATTGTATCGTTTAACAAGTGTATGTTCCACCAGTTAGCTCGAAACATTTGTGTTATATAAATCTCTACTTTTATTTTATTTTTGGTAAATAGAAATCCTCAAAATGAGTAAAGCTGAATTTATGTAACATCAAACCTTGACTCTTAAAACGATCTTGTAACTTATCCAAAAATATTGGTGAAATATAACCTGTGACGAATGAGACCATTTGACTGGGAAATCGGAAGAGAGCCTTCGTCAAGAATTAACAATAACTTGACGGCCAGGGAGTACATTTTTCGTCCTAATTTAGGACTCATCAGTTGTACGTATCTCTAGTCTTCGTAGGGTCGAACTGAAAAATTTTATGCCTTGGAGAAAGCACATCTTTAAACTTCAGATTCATGACCCAGTAGTCTGTTTCCGACTTTGTGATATCGACAACCATTCAACGCTTTTTCTGATACGCTTTATCACCATTAACCATCAAAAGCCTGGAACCCTGGACGGCCGTTTCGTCGCAGGATCAAATTTCTTAGCAGTGCTTACCCACGACTCTCCATGCGGGATTCGAACCCAGGACTGAGGATTCCCATACTAGGACGAAACGGCCAACCAGTGCTTCCAGGACTTTAGTGGTCGGTCCATGATCTCAATGCAATTCAACAATCTCCACAACCCCAAACTGAATGTTTAATAATTGCCGTTGATAGAAACACTTGTCCATTAAATTCATTATTATCATCGTATACTTTGATTTCATTTATTTCAAACCATGATTTTCGGCAAGTATCACATCGTTCCCATGACTTTTAATGCTAAAACAGAACGAATAACTGCTCTTTTTTTACACCGACTTCGTAATGGTCATGTGATTAGTTTGAGGTAACTTCATGTAAAGCCTATAAATCGCCGTTAAGTGACTGCATGTTTCGGCACATATACATATCAGTATAGGGTTGTGGAGATTGTTAAATTTAGATTGATATCATGAATGGATAAATGTTAGGTCACTATCGAAAACCTGGAAGCATTGGACGACCGTTTCGTCCCAGTATGGGACTCAGAAGTGTGCATCCGCGATCTCGCACGCGGGAATCTAACCCAGGACCTTCGGTCTCGCTTGCGAACGCCTAGCCTCTAGATCAGTAGGTCGGCATCCAACAGTGTTAATATCTAACTTCAACCAATCCACGATTTGCATGACCACCCATCACTGTCTTCAGTAAGTAACTGCCTCACAACAGACACGACTGAACTCGATTGGCCACGGCTTCTCACTAGAACCCCAGGAGATCTATCTTGAGGCCAGTCACTAGTGTGCGCATGATAATTATCAGTATAAGTTTGTGGAGCTCACGATTCCTTTATTCAGTTCTTATTCAAAACTCGATATCAAAAAGGATAGAAATATAGTACATAAGAAGATTTCTTATATAAATCAAGGTAAATAACTGTATTAATGAAATTTTATGTTGAATATATTGGTGGCATGTGTTTGTGTTGTTTGGGGCTTACCAGTTAGATGTACATGCATCCTACTGTTGATGCTCACATCGAGACTCGAATCCAGTATCTTACGACTAAAACTCCAGTGCGTTATCTACTGAGTTCAGGTTTTCACTAAATTGTTGAATACAGATGATATTTATATTATCATTAAAATTGATTTGAATCACTCTGGATTTCACTGTTAACCACAATCTATATATTCAAAAATCTTGCTACGCAACAGATTTATTGTAGTAGTTCACACCAGATTCACGCGTATCAACAAAAACTGGTCAAAAGTCAGTCCTAAATATGAAAAAATCAGACAATTCATATCCTTACTGTTTATGATATAAATTCATCGAATTCTCAACTTTTGTCGATGAACCATAAACTATGAAGATTTATTACTTGAAGAATTCACTTCAAAGTATTCAAGAAACCTATCCAACTAAAATACCTTTCTATATTAATTATTTGTTCATTCAGAAAATAATCAGTAATGCTAACACTACCGGTTCCCAAACATTGCAAAACTTTCTGTGTTTTGTTAGTTTTAAATGTTTAGTCTAATTGACCTTGAATAATATGAAAGCCATATTATCATTTTCTCTAATAACAAAAAAAACGGTGTATCAGTATCTCTTCGATAACAATCGTTAATTCCAAAATATTGAAATTAATGAAAAATGTGCTAATCAACATGGTTTATCATTAAGACCTGGATATTTCTTAGAACATTTGACAAAAACTCGACTATGTTAGATTATCTATGGATTACATAACCAACATTTTCTACAAAGTTTTTAGATTTTTCGAAAACTTGTTCTACATCTATTATACATAAATTTGTCAAAATAAAAGTGTAGAAATAATAAGATTTTTTAACGGTGTTGGTTTACTGAAAAAAACTTGACATTTTTTCTACATTTATAATCTCACTTTTACATTCTGAATACTTTCACAGGATTTAGTCGGTATGCATGATAAATGATTTTTAGTTTATACATTTACCAGGTATTCTTTTTGAAAGCTTTCATTGAAAAGAATGAGAATTTCATGACTGTTTAAAACACCTTAAAATTTACGAATGTTATTGACTTACTGATCCAAAAACAATATCAAAATTCAGGTTATGAAATCAAATATTTTCATTCACAACAATAAAACAATGCTCAGAATTAAAGAAAAATAAGCTGATCATCATCACTTCTTGCAACAAGTTAACATTTTACACATACACACATGTTTTATTTACTACTATTATGTGTACAAATTGTTTCAATTCACAATATAACTATCAATCATGGAATAAAAAAAACAGAGTAACAGTTCATTTAACACCAAGTGTTTAATCGCTGTAAAATTCCCATTATATTAAAACACAATTTTATGAACGAAGAATATTCTTTTCAAGTGTTTAGTTTCTACTTGATGCTGAGGTTGTTAGACTATGAAATTAATTAAATATGTGTAATTCTATGTATAATGATCATATTTGAATATGAATTTTTTCGAAGATTTTTGGTAATAACTGAAATAATTTTTCCACAGGGTTGGTAGTTGTAAGTAAATAAAAGAGGAGTCATAAATTAATATAAAACGACTGTCCAATATTTCCAGGTTTTCAATGCTTGTCTAACTTAGATCAGTTCGTGATCGCAATAAAAGTAAACCAACGTAGATAACAGCAAAATGTAAACAAACGACCTTCAAGTTATTGACGAGATAAACTACTGGATGAGCTGAGATACGAATACTCGACCTTAGTTTATCAGTTGTTCAGTTTGGATATTTCGAAACTAAGTAATGAACAACTTGGTTAGCTGTTGAACCACACAATCGCTTAGAATAACTTTCAATTCGTGATAAAACCTGTGTCATCATATCAATGTTCGATATCTCTATTTGTCTAATTGTTAGAACTAGTGGGTCATTAGCGCATATTGTTGGGGAGTTTAGAAATAGGAGAAAACAATTACTTACTGCTCTATGGCTTATAATGCATCAGTAACTTGTATAAGTTCCCAACAGAAATTACCTCTATATATATATATATATAGAGAGAGAGGAGAGAGAGAGAGAGATATTAACCATCCCAACCAGTGATTACATGATTGTTATAACACATTATTTCGAATAGGAAAAAAATAGCTGAAGGATCCCACTTGGAAATGTTGAGATTTGAATAAATTGTCTAAATATTTGTTTAATACAAATCTATAATAAATGAACTAAGTTTCATTTTATCCACATCAATTGGGACATTTGGGATATCTAGTGCCATACGAACAAATTAAATATGTCCTTTTACAGCCAGTGATTTAAAGTTAATATGGATATCAATATATTGTATCGTTTTTTTAGTGCGTTTAATGGATAAATATGTAAGTAATATTTATCACACGAAAGCACACGTATGCACATTTATAATCGATTATATTATGAAAGTATACGCAGATATGTACCGACAGTACTTGCCAGTTGATTAATTAAACATCTAATGATTAATAAACACATTATAAAATCACTTAGTTAACTGATGACCATTAATATTTGAGGTATTGTGTAAAATACACTTGTTTACGGAAATAAATCAGTTTAGCATGACTTCGTGAAATTCAGCAACCTGTTGAATAAGCTAGACTATAGATAGTTTGTGATACTAAGAGATATTCTATAACTTCACAGTATATTGGAAATTAAATTTCAAAAACAAATATTAGGACAAAATCTGAAGAATCAATGAAAAATATGAAACTTTGAACAGTAGATTCTTTCCTGTTTCAATCTTCAGTGATCCACGTAATATAGTAATATACAAATCATTAGTCAATAGAATCTTTAAAAATATGTTTCAAATGACAAAGCAA